TGAAAGAATAATAAACATTCATAATTGTATCCCCAACGCTTAGACGATGGTTACATGATTGTTTAAATTTTTAAAACCCTCCAAATCTCGTGAACAATGTTTTTTATTTGAGTGAAAAATTAATAATTATTATTGTAGAAGTGTGAAAAATGCAATCACTCGTAATGAAAAGTTTTACAACTTTCATGAAGGGGCCAACTCCGAAATTTAGTATATATATACTAATTTAGTATTGTGTTTTACATTTTTTAGGGTCAAATTATGTTTTTCATTTTCATTTTTATTAATTTAAAATATATTTTTCTTAACGGGTAATGGGTCGGGTCATATTACCTAATAATATTAACGGGTTGATTTCGGGTCGAGTCATATTACCCCTTTACTTTAACAAGTATTGCACGACACAACCCGTTAAGCTATCGGGTATGACACGAAAACGACACGAACACGAAAAACATGACACGAATGCCAGGTCTAGTCGCGAAGCAGAGAAAGAACATGGAATGATGTAGAAAACTTTCCCTTCTGTTTAACTTCTGCTTTTAGGCTCATCTCAACTGCAGCATCTCCATAAAATCTTTCTTGTTTAACTTTTGCTTTCACATCCACTTAGTATTACGATTTAATGGTATTCCAATTCATTGGCAGATGAGAGGTCTTAGGTTTGATTCTTACCAAAGACGAATTCAAACCATATTAGCCCATTGTGAGATTTAGCCTACTCCCCCACCTCCTTAGTGTAGATTTAATACCGTTTGTTAAAAAAAAAAAAAATTTATGCTTTCACGTTCATCCCATGTATCTTCTGGCGTGTCTTCAGTTTCAGATTTTTTATTTTTTTGAATAATCAATATTATCTATACTAAAGGAGAAGGGTGGGCTTAGCCTCACAATGAACTAGTAATAATGTGATTCAAACTCGTCTTTGACGAGAATCGAACCTATGACTTCTCACGTATTAGTGAAGAGGAATACCACTCAATCTGTAGTACTAAGTGGCATTTCAGTTTCAGATTTAAATACGCTTGCATTCACATATAAACTCGATTCATTTAGGTCAATCTCACTAACCCCTGGAGTCAAAGGCGAATCTATTAAAGGACCAAGATGATCCTAGGACCACCAAAAAACTTAGAAAAGTAGCTATGAAAACCTCTAAGGACCATCTAAATCTAGGTTGTGGTGGAGGAGAAAAGCAGCCATGGTTGTCGATCACCTTCTGCAAAACAGAAGGAGAAAGAAGAACTCATTTTCTTTCAAATTACTTGGCCAAAACGAGACTGTTTTGAGCCAAACCATTAAAAAAATGGAAAGCGTGCATTTTATATTGTGATTGGACATCCAGTCACATCCCTTTGGTTTAGACTCCACATGAGGTTCTTCAATCCATACACACTGGTGGCTGAGGTGGGACCCACTTCAAAGTAAAAATCAATTTAAAGACCTTGAAAAAGGAAAGATTATATCAAAGGAGTCGTAATCTCATTCAAGTAATCATTTCATTTTGCCTTTGGGATTCCTCAACTCTTCCAACCAGTAAAAAAACTTTAAAATTACCCTCCTCCTTTATGCTTATTGCTGACTGCTGCCCAGTGGCAGTGGGCCTATAATCTTTGTTGGCATTTGGGTTTAGCCTCTAGTTTGCATACGTCTTCCATTCTTCTCTTCGATCCCAAAACCCTAATTAGAGTTTAGTTATGCAAGTTTTTCTTGGGATGCCTAGTTTATTTATTAGTGCATGTTGTGAGGACTTGTCACTCAAGTGATCGAACATAGTGTTTGTCTTTGTATTAATAGCAAGAGTTTTGATAGTCTCGCATTCACGATAAGAGTTGCATATTATGTAGTTATACTTCAAGACAATAAAAATATTTATTTTATTTTGATAGACAGATAGTGACTTTGTCGTTTTTATTTTTTTTCAATATTATTTTGGTCTTTTTTTTTGGAGTTTTAAAGTTAGGACCACCCTATACTAAAATCCTAAATCCGCCACTGCCTGACTTCAAGGGCATATGATGAGAAAGTACACCAATCTAAAATAATTAGCTCATCATCATCGTGGATTTGGAATTAGGGTGTGGATCATAAGCCACTGCTCTAATTGATACTTGTTAAAATCATCGTAGAAGCATATATCTATTTCATAGTGTCGCATTAGAATGTTATGCTTTAACTCTTCATCAGCCACGCTCCAACTAAATTTTATTTTGCAATTTCTTTTTGCTAATGCATAAGTACCTATCCAATCTAATGCTTGAAGATAGCCTTCTTTTATAACGTCTTCGAGTTTTCATTTCAGCATGGATGTCTTCAAAACTTATATGCCAGTTCGTCTCTGGAATCTCAAGATTACAACTGCCCCTAGCTAGACCTCCATTTTCACCTTCTTCTATAGTAACACTCCCAGAATTTTTGCAGGCAATACACAACTGCTCCTAAACCCGAACGAAAATAATTGAAATCAAATAGAAAAAACTGTAATATTTCGAGATACCGTATTTGAAGGATCTAAAACTTCCAAATCACCATACATCTATCCAAAAGAGCTTGTTTTTCTCTTTGATAACGTCTTAGGGTTTTAGCCATGATAGAATTGTAGACGAAAGATTGTGTGATGACAAGGGTTTGATTATTATATATGTGGGTTTGTTGATACATTTGGTTTAAGTGTTAATTTTATCTTGTACTTGGTGATAATTATACAATAAGGCAAAATTGATGTAGAGTGAGTTTATATGGGTTCGAAACCCGCTGCTAATGTGGAAGCCAGACTTGTGGCCATGAGAAGACTGAAATGTCTTTATGAGTCTTTTCGGCCCCTGGAGTAGATAACTGTGTCTTGTCATAGTTGTCCCCTTTTAAAAATAAAAAATAAAATAAATAAAATTAGACAAGCTTGTTAACCAAAAATATTAAATTAGGTTTCTACGGAATTAATATATAAAATAATACAAAAATCCTTTTTACCTAGGAACAAAGGAACCTAAGGACTAAGGAGGGATCTGCCGGCGTAAATTAACAAAACTGTGAAGTAAAATTAAAAGCTGAAAATCAAACCTGGAAACCTGTGTGACGGAGAGAGAGGTCATGACTCGTGGCTGGTGTAGTTGGAGAAATTTTTTATTATGAAGGGAACACAAGTGGTACATTATATGTTTTTATGTAAGTGGTGTGAAATTTTATTTTTTAAGTTATTAACTTTTTAACACACATATCTCATCATTTACCTAATGACACGTGATATATTACCTCGTATGCCGGTCACACTGAAAAATCTCTGTATAGTTGGCAATGACGTCTAGAAATTAGGGGCAGAAAGAGATGTGGTGGAGGGCAAGAAAAATAGATGGAGAGGAGGAGAGCAGATCAATGTCCGACAGGCACTAACTGGGTTGAAGTTTGGGAAGAGAACTGTGACGCTAGGATTTTAAGATTTGGGTATATTTATCCAACTAAATAATATAAACATGATTCTCAATTCAAAATAATAATAATAATAATCAATGAAAACTGTTATTGGTACTTTAAAAATCTCATTTTGTACTTCAAAATTATTATAATTGTTGTGGTCTATTTTATCTGACAGAGGGACTAGGGCCGGCGGCAGAGAGAGAGGAGAGAGATGTGTGTTTGTAGAATTGTAGGGGAATGTGTGTTTTGTTATCCCTCCTACATTGTGCCTTTATTTATAGTAGTAAAGGGAGAGAAGATATTCCTTCTCCTCCAAGTAATACAAGTTGTAATAGGAAAGGATAACTAGAATCAAATCTTATCTAGGATTTACACAATCATACTTAAACTAGGAATGTTTACAACAATAATTAGAAAAAAAAAAAACATTTGTAAAGAGTGTATAATAAAATTAATTTTGAAATGCTAATAAAAATTTCGTGATTAATTCATCTTTTTTATTTGGTAAGAAATCCCGCTTTAAGTATATGTGTCGACGTCAAATTCTATATGCGATGAACAAAGCCTCGAAGAAAATCACTGCACTATCTCGCGTGATAGCGCGCTAGAATAGGACATTGGTTTTATCCCGAAACTTCATTTTCTCTGTGTCTGAGTTAATAGGACGGCTACACAAATTCGTCACATATTATAGGCATATCTGACGAATTTATAGGTCTAGTATATTATTTGGTCGCATATTCCCTCTTTCTTGTAGTTAGTCAACTGTATGATCTTTAGTCATCCGTAGTTAGTCATCTGAATCATTTTCTTGTTATCATAAATATCAATTTATTGGATACATATGAATATTTAAATATCTTCAAAATCTAATGAATTTATAGGTAGATGATATTTCAATAAGCTAAAAAAAAATGATTGGTTCAAATTATAATATGTACAATAAAATGATATCAAGTCTATATTGAAAAAGGATATCCTCCTTACAATATTGTTTTACGTTAAAGCTGAAGTTTTTGAATAAAACGATATATTTACATTAATGATTGGTAATTTAAGTTAAGCCATACAATTAGTTAGCCATATAATAATTTGGTATATATCGAACTCGCCATTCACAAATGAATAATATACTCACAAGTGAGAGAATAATATCACTATATTGTAGTAAGTAGCTTGTCAAGGCTGAAGTTTGAATCCTTTTTTTTTTCGTTTTCGTTCAAGTTATTTTTAGTAATTTTATTTTTTTAGGCATACATGTATAGATAACATATTTTGTCACACACCTTTTAATACAGATAAACTATACTATTCACTTACATTAAAGAGTTCGTTAGTAAGTATAGTTTTGTGTGTAAACATAACGTACCTTAAATTTACAAAATGATGACTAAGTCATTTGGTTACAGAACGAAGGGATTAGGATCTTCTTCTTCTTTGATTAAACAAGAAAATCAAGAAAAATACCCAATCGTTATATATGCCACGAACCTTTTGCAATATAATTATTCTAATTGCACGCATGCAAAGGAAGGCTCTCTCTTGTTCAAGCAAAAAAAAAAAAAAAAAAAAAAAAGCGTCTTTTAAACTTATTGAACATGCTCCAAGCCTCCAACACCTGCTATTCTCTGCAATGCACAGGTTTCCGTGATATGTTGACGCCGAACAACCTCACCACTCCATCATCTTGAACCGTCGCTGGAGGGTCACCAACAGTACCATGTATCTCCCCGATCCCCGAAATGTCGAGGTTTCTTGATCTACAGTCAATGAACAGCTTCTTATCCTCCCCTACCGATCTCTCAAACCTCACAACATCACCAACTTTCAGCTTCTTCTCCTTCACAAACCGAATCCACCCTTTGCTCAACACATAACTCTGACTGCTACTCCAATAACAATACCCAAACCTCCACAGTTTACCCACCTCATCCTCAAATTTCAATAACACTCCTTTACCAAACCCTACACTCTGATGAACCTGAAAATGCTTCTCAGCATATCGTTTTGGTATAACCATGCGGTTCAATCTACCTACGTCGCTTGGTGTTGCCACTTTCTCGAAAAGCAACTCCCTCTCGCGACTACATGTGTCCATAAAATCATGGTAACACTTCATACGCTTTCCGCCATCATCAAGGCCTAGGGCACAAGCCGCACAACCATTGTATAACTTATGCTTGTACATCTCGAGCTCGTTGGCATAAGAATGTTTTCGAAGCATGTCAACTATCTCAGCCTTGGAATGGGACTCCAAGAAAAGGGCCTCGGTGACATCACATTCGTAGGGTTTCATTTGGTTTCGACTGATCTGTGTGATAGCATCAAGACCCCGGATCTTTAGCGAGGCAATGTCGTAGGTTTTAGCAGCTTCTTCTTCATCATAGAAGGTTCCCAACCACACACGATTACTCTTCTCGTATATCTGAGCTCCCCATCTGCCATTTGACTGCGGCACTACTCCTTTGTACCTAGAAGAAGGCAACTTGTTTGAACTTGCACCGTTTGCTTGATTCATTGTTGAGTAGTCCCTTGTGCTCGCATTCCAGCAACTAATCAAATCCATTGTGATTGGAAGGAAGAAAAGGACGAGAATCAAACTTTATTTCTAGGGTATTTTGATTCGTAGGAAGAGAAGAGTGAGAATCAAACTCTATTTCTATGGTAATGATTTTGAGGAAGAGGATGACGAGAATTGACTGCTTGGGCTTCTAGATTCAACAGACACTCGTCAGTAATGTTTAGGTAATAAGTCTTTCTTCATGATTAGTTTCTCGCAGACCGACCTACTAGGATGAGAATCAAAATCTGTTTTTACGGTATTTGGATTCACAAGAAGAGGATGATGAGAATCAGACTCTGTTTCAGGTTGTTTTTGAATCGTAAGAAGGAGATGATAATTGAATTGTATTAATTCTAGGGCATTTCCTATTCATAAGAAGAGGTGGATGAAGATAAGTAGGCCCAATCGGTTTTCTTCATAGAAGTATACGGTAAGAGTGTGTGCTGTTCATATATATAGTTGAAGGTTGGTGTATTAAAAGTAGAACCCACCTGTTATATATATACCTTACCTGATAAGATCTCATGGTCTCTTGTATGTTAAATGTGCTAGGAGAGGGGATTTTACCCCAACGGGATGTGAAGAGTGGTTGAATTTGAGAGGCTGTACCTGGACGTGCTTCATTTAGAAGAATTACTATTTAACTTACCAAGTTGGGTTATCAATGTCTTTAAATCAAGGTTCTGAAAAATAGTAGGCTAGTCGGGCAACAGACTAGGCTGATTTAAGTAAATTTATTATATATTGTATAAATAATGGCATGTCTATACTTAAAAATACATAATTATATTAGGATACATAAATTGAAAAATAGAATGTCATATAAATTAGAAAGTATTAGAACATGTTGAAAACATAGGAAACCAAAATATAATAATTGTTCATCTAAGTATTCAACAACTCTCTTATAATTTATTTAAAAAAATAAATCCAAAATGAAAGTTATTTATTTTCTATCTAAGTGAGAGTCGCGACATAAGTGGGTGATTAGGTGGGTCTAAATGGGCTAGGCGGGGTGCCTAAGCAGGTCTAAGCGTCATTTATTAATTTTCAAATGCCTAGCGATTAATTGGGGTAGCCAGCCGCCTAGTGCCTAGGTGGGGCCTAACCGGCGCTAGGCGAAGGTTTTTAGGACAGTTCTTTTGATTGAAGTGTAGATCTTTTGTGGATGGATCTTCCATGTGATGCAGTAGCAAAAGTCTCCAAATCTAGGTAAAATGTAGAGTAAAAGTGAGATTTTCAAACGAAAAAGCCAAACGACGAGCATTTAAGATTTATTTTGACAAGGTAACTTTTTTTTTTAACAAACGATATTATCTACACCAAGGGATGGAAGAGTAGGCTAAGCCTCACAATGGGCTAGCAATAATATTAATGTGGTTCAAAATTGTTTTTGGCGAGAATCGAACCTAAGACTTCTTACTTACAAGTGAAGAGAAATACCACTAGACCACTAAATTGTAGTACGAAGTGGCTAGCAAGATAACTTAATTGGTTAAGAGTTTTTTTTGTTTAAACACCACCTCTTATCTAAGTTCATCATATTTCTATCTACACCGCATTAAAAATTTAAATTAATTGTTTGTAAGAAAACCCCACTATTCTCCTAAACTACCGTTCATCACCAATACACACCACACAAATTCGCCATTAAAGCTTTAAAAAATGAATATGAATCTTGAATTGTTGCACCTCTTCATATAAGTCGTGTGCCCACTTACTCCTATGCCATATTTAGCAAGCTATCATGTAATAATATCTAGGCAAATATTCTCTCAAACATTTATCCTTTCCTTTTACATCGACTATCTTATCACAAGCATCCTGTCAAACACCAAAACTCCCAAGCAGCCCATACTCAAAGAATGCATCAATAGGTTGTTGGACAATCTCAACAACTAATTCAAATAAAATATAGGAATAATAGTCATCACTTGCTCTAATTAATGTGGGACACGGCAATTCTTGCCCACCACCTCAATCAACCTCAAGGTCTATGAAGCTCAATTCTTTTAGGACGCATTTACTAATCTGTAATCAAATTGAGAGAAATTAAATTGAGGTGAAATTTGAATCAGATTCATGTTGAAGTTGTTTACTAAAACTGTCTAGAATCGGAGTAGGAATGATATTGAGTACATATAAGTTGTTTATTAATTCACTTCAATCGGAATGAAAACTCGGTTGATTACTATATTGCCCTTACGTAAATAAATTATTTCCCTACTAATTAATTAAATTAAATTCTTAATAAATTTATATAATAAAATTCATCTATATAAAAATATATAAATAAGTTTTATTTATTTATTAAAAGATGGCAGGAATGATGTTGAATTCATATAAGTTGTTTACTAATTCACTTCAATCGGAATGAAAACTAGGTGGATTACTAAATTGCCCTTACATAAATAAATTATTTTCATACTAATTAATTGAATTAAATTTATATAATAAAATTCATCTATATAAAAATATATAAATAGGTTTTATTTATTTATTAAAAGATGGCATAATGAGTGTCAAATGAAGGGCAATGTTGGGATAATAAGAAACAAGTGAGGGCATAATTGGTAAATAAACTCCATTCCAGATTCCTCAAGTCATAAAGAATTGAAATACCTACCTTAGGTAGGGAGTCCAATTCCTCCAAAATTAGGAGTTGGATTCCTTAATGCGTGTGGACCCCACATGTATTTTGATTCTCTAAGATTACATAAACAAAGGTGTATCCCGTAATCGAAATCCAATTCCGTATGATTCCGATTACGGGTACGTAAACGTGCCATTAGAGTAATGCTAGAGAAATTAAATTTGTAAATTTATTTTACAAACTAAATGATGTGTCACCAATAATAAATGAGTACATAAATCAACGTTTAAGTAATAATTCAATCATGATCAACTTTCATGTCATTTAATTTATAAAATTTAATTTACAAATTTAATCTCACTAGTATTACTCATTCTTTTAATCTCCAATAGAAGGATCCATGCATGTACGACGCGAATAGAATAATGCATGTGCTTAAAGGCTTAAAAAAATGCATGTACTTAAAGGTATGTTTTGCTGAAAAGGTGATTCCCTCCAAATCTTAGTACAGGTTAATAGAATTTACAATTTAAAAGGAATATACTGTTCAACATAAAAAAGTTTGGATTGTATTCTTAATTTTATTTTTATGTCACGTCTAAAATAAACCCTACCGAATCAAAGAAGTACTTGGATTCTCTGCCCTCCAATTTCGGTGCCCTTCTCGTGCCCTCCTGTTTTATGTGGTCACGGTTAATCCATGCTAACATTTTATATTGTTTTTTATAAAAATAATAAGACAAAAAAAAAATAGTAATATAAAATATTGATGTGGCTTAACTGTGACTACACAAACAGGAGGACACGGAGAGGGCACCGAATTGGGAGGGCAGAGAATCCAAGTCCATCAAAGAAACGTGGAATATTGCGAAAGCCACCCTAGCCCTAATGATGAACGCGCAGTAGAAGTCTAGGTTTCTTGGTAAATCATAGAAGTGTCCTTGCCACTCACAAAGTTCATGCGCTGGGCTTGTCTTCTTTCGGCTACAGAATTGTGTTGATGGAGTTCAAATATTGTTTGCCCAGCATGTGATCACGTGACACATATCCTTTTAATCTCACGTTATTCTTACTTAAAATCTAACGATGTTACTTTAAAATTATTTGTTATGACAAATGTTGAAAGAACGTGGTTACAGGCTGGGTAAAGAGCATTTAGGCACAACAAGTCCGAACTTGTGTTGATGTAGCTACTCACATCTCCTCTATAAAATATTGACTACATCTCCAGGAGCAACATCTTTCTAAATGCAGATCACATTATACAAAAACAACTTATTATAAATTGTGTTCACATGTTCAACTGATTTGTGTGTCAATAAAAATGGCCTACTTATGTAAGCAGACATCACTTTTTAGTCAAGAATCAGGGAACCGGATAAGGTGGGGATCATTCTGATCGGGTCATCTGGGCCATTGAAATTTGATCAAATGGCTACAAACAGGAGGATCCTCTAAAAATTATAATTATTGTAACCATTGGATCAAATTTCAATGGTTCAGATGATCCGGTCAGGATGATTCCCACCCTATGCTCAGGAGGGGATCCGGTTCTAAGAATCAGGACCAATTTTCACTATTTAGATCAGAACCAGCACCATTTTTGACAATAAAGTATCAAGGTAGAGTCATAAAGTTTGAAATTCTTGGACGCCAATGAGAGATCCTAGAAACTTGCACATGAGTAATTCTCAATTTCCATCTAGAGTTGCAGTCTTGTTCATCTAACCCGGTCGTGTAAAGAAATGAGGTCACTCACTCTTCAATTTTAATATAATACTAGGAAATTATTTTTTTTTTGGATCATATGATCTAAGAGAATAGGACTCCCTCTTTGGGTAATAAATTAAGGGTCAAATGACCATCTCATGTCACTTCAATATGTCTGAAGCCTTGAACAAGTCCTTCGATGAAACGCGTCAGCCACATAGACAACCAGAATCCAAAAAATCTCGCTTCCTAAGTGTCTACGCACTTGTAACACGCTGAGGTCAATAGTGCGATAGTGCTAACCGCCTCAATACATAGTTGAAAGACACCTAACAAGAATTACAGTCACTGGCAGCGCCAAATGACCGATCTACCCTTATTCCAGCTCAGCAATATGATCGAGATTGCTTATTCTTCACTGCTTATAAATAGAACCAGAGGCCTTTAAGTTGAGGACCTTCGTCAAATTTAATCTCTACTATTAAACAAGACATTGAGTGATTCTTCAATCAACCCAATTGTTTTTCAGCAAAACTATTATAGCTTTTCAATTGCAATTTCAAAGCCTTCCTTCGAAGCAAACATTGCCTACGATCCTTGAGTTTAAAACTTTTACTACTCTACCACCCCGTGGCATGATATGGTTGATGTGCAATTCCAATAACCTTGATTTCCTCTATGAGGCTCATGTTTGGTACTA